AAATAAATTTCAAATTATTGCACAAAAGGAAAATGTGCAAAGTTTAATATTTAAGATAAATTATAATATAATAGCCTCACACAACTGGCAATAATAAATGAATTAAGGGATGAGGTAAAAGAAAATTGAACAAAGGCCACATGATTTTCAGCAAAATAAATTAATTCGACCAATACCATAACAAATGATGACCAAACTACATTAGAGTAAAATAAGGTATAAATCACAAACAAACAATGAATGCGAAAAAAACTAAGTTCAGCAACGTAAAATAAAATAATAATATGCTGCTTGTTCAGAGGAAAGCAAGACTGAGAGAAATTTAACTAAAGTCTAGCAAAATTAGCAATCTTCTATCACTCCTCATCTGCTTCCAACTTAATCTTCTTTCCCTTGCGCAAGTTGTACGCAATATGAGACTTTTCAACATGCTCACCACCATTGGCAAATCCAACTTCAATAACTTCTGATGGAGTAATGGTTGAGGAACTATCTTCAGTAGATTCCTTCAATAAAAATAGCATGGATATGATATATCAGAAACCAAAAAAAAAAAAAAAGGAATTCACGTAGTATCTATTTAAGGTAGAAAGAGAACATACAGTTTCCTCAATTGAGGGTGTTTGTGATACACATTTAGGTGAAGGCACTTGTTGATCCCATTTATCCAGAAAACTCTTCACAGTGTTTTCATCATCAGTCATTCCATTTACTATAATGCCACAAGGGAGGCCCTTAGCATAATCCTCTGAAATTCTAACACGGAAAAGGAACTTTTTCCCTATTATCTTATCAAAGCCATTACCTTCACATACACCAGTTACATCCATCTACAATGCACAACCATATAAAATGTAATGTGTAATATAACTAAATAAATATATATATATATATATATATAAGAATAAGAAACCAAAAAATCATGACTATTGTAGTTTGATTACTCACCCTTCCTATACTTTCTTTTAGTTCAGCAGCAGAGCATTTCATGAAGGTAGCAAATTCCTTGTCGAAGATAAGAACATCAGTTGAGCTAGATGCATCATAAACACGACACCACACACGAAACCTAAATGTAACATAGAAACAACCACTAAACACATCAACCACCAAAAACACTTGCTGTAATAAAACAAATAGAAAGCAACATAAGCTTTATACCTTGGAGACACAGACTTGACGAACTCATTGCACTTGTCACAGTAAAAACCATCACCATCAGGAAGAACCTTTTTTGCACACTTTTGGCAGCCGATATAATACCATCCCCGCTCGGTGTCAACACTAACAACCTCAGCATAGATAACGCAATCAGCATCCTATTATTCATCGAAAATTAAGATTATTAGTTGATGACCCTAAACTGAAGTTGTATACAACACAAAAGATATATAAAAAAATTACAAGTGGCCCTCCACGAAGCTGGCATATATATTTACGATTCGGGCAGTGCAAGATCTCATCCTCGACACTTAAGGTAGGTTGATTAGGAAGGTGAATTGGCCTCTTCTCAATTTCGACACCAGCAGCTTTAAGGCTAAACTCAGAGAAGTAGTGAATAAATTGAAATAGACAGTAAATAATTACAATATAAGATATTCCACTTGAAACACTAAAATGTGTAAAATTCACCTTTCAACAAAGGTGCTGACTTCATCCATGGTAGGATGGATGAACAAACGGGAAGCGAAAAGAGAGTTGGAAACTTTCTTAATCCCTAAAAAAAAACCACCACCATAATGAATATTCATGAAAATATTAGTTGAACAGATAGTTGTGGTAACATACCCTTGAAAACTCGTATCTTGCACCACTGGACAATCACAATGATGGGACAACGTGTGGGGCCTTTCATATAACGAAGAACATCATTGGCAAGGGCACCCCATAAAGTAACTTCAAGGTAATTTCTCCTATTTATTCTCGCACAAAAACCATTAAATAATCAAATTTAATCTCTAAAATCATTGCTCAAAAACCATTAAATAATCAAATTTAATCTCTAAAATCATTGCAAACACTAAAAACACATAAAGGTAAGCATATCTTTATACTTATCATCATCCAATAATATATCAAGCCTTTGCTCCTGTCGTCCATTAACAACAACTTTTTGAATCTCCCCAACTGCAGCAAGTCTCCCTATGATATCTACATTCAAAAACAACAAACTTTATGGTATGAAATTGGAAACAAAGAAAAACGTATATTAATACGTTATAGAAGAATGACCTACCAACTAAATATTCCTCCCTTGAATCACCGCATATGATATCACTAAATGGGGTAAAGCAGAAGCCATGAGAATGGATCTTATTGTTATCCACCACAGGTCGCACAGTAGTCGAATATTGAAACATCACTTTAAAAGCGTGGTGTGTGGTCCTGTATGATCCAGAATTCTCAACAACACCAAATTGCGTGAGAATAAAGGCACGACCTTCACGAAGAAATCGAGAATGGTGACGAGCAACTCCTTTCCTAACAAAAGCTCCAATTCGATCACCCTGAAAAAAAATCAAGTTGAAAATATAAAAATATGGTTTTATAAGGAATCAATCAGTCTATTAAATGAATCATAGAATATTCAAAACATTAGAATGCAACACACAGCTTCATCCTGCAAAACCATCTCAAGTGATGTAGGCTCGTTTGAAACAGCATGAGGAGCAATGGACCACAATCGAACAATGCGTACTTTGATCTTCCAATCCTCACGAGATTGATTAATGGAATGAATGCAATCAAATGTTGCAGCCATTTGAAAGAACAATATCACTGTTAGAAATTTTACAAATGATTGAGTTTGCCTCACACTGTGTGGGGATGCCATTTTTATATATGACTCTCTTAGTTCGCATGCCATGCAAGTTAAGAACGTGTGAAGGAAAGGACAACCCCATGATCTCAAAGCAAGACTACACGTTTAGCAAGAAAAGGCATGGAGAAGTGGGAAAAGTGGGGTGGAGATATGGGGTGGGATAGTTATAAGAAAAACCTCAGACGATATTTCAGTTTTTACGCTCTTAAAATGTTTTCCTAATTTGTTGTCTTCCTTTATTAAGTTAAACGAATTTAATTCAATTTTTATTTGTTTATTTATATTAATTTGCTATTTAAATGATAGAATATTGAATAACTAACCATATCTAAAAAGGAATCGTGGAGTTAGGAAATTATTAGATTACGGGCTAAGAAGTTACCAAAATAAATAATCTAAATAACTATCTATATTTAAATTTAATTATATGCATGAATAAAAAAAGAAAATTAAGAATTTAATAAATAAGAATTTCATTTTATTGTTTACATGTTTGCACGAGATGACAATTAAAATATCAAAAAAAAATATGTTGTTATATTTATTTTAAATATTATAATTTAACTTAATATCCATTAATTACTCAATCCATAAATCATATATATTTAATTAAATTATAAATGAGAATTATATTAATTAATAACATATAAAGAATTTAATGTAATTATTTTATTAAGTCATATGTTTATAATTCAGTTTTTATTTGTTTAATTATATTAATTTGCTATTTGAATGATAGAATATTGAATAACTAATCATATCTAAAAGAGGAATCGTGGAGTTAGAAAATTATTAGATTACAGGCTAAGAAGTTACCGGAATAAATAATCAAAATAACTATCCATATTTAAATTTAATTATATACATGAATCAAAAAAATAAAGAAAATTAAGAATTTCATAAATAAGAACTTCATTTTATTGTTTACATGTTTGCACGAGATGACAATTAAAATATCAAGAAAATTATGTTGTTATATTTATTTTAAATATTATAATTTAACTTAATATCCATTAATTACTCAATTCATAAATCATATATATTTAATTAAATTATAAATGAGAATTATATTAATTAATAATGTATAAAGAATTTAATGTAATTATTTTATTAAGTCATACGAATTTAATTCAGTTTTTTTTTTGTTAATTTATATTAATTTTCTATTTGAATGATAGAATATTGAATAACTAACCATATCTAAAGAGGAATCGTGGAGTTAGAAAATTATTAGATTACGGGCTAAGAAGTTACCGGAATAAATAATCTAAATAAATATCTATATCAAGAAAATTATGTTGTTATATTTATTTTAAATATTATAATTTAACTTAATATCCATTAATTACTCAATTCATAAATCATATATATTTAATTAAATTATAAATGAGAATTATATTAATTAATAATGTATAAAGAATTTAATGTAATTATTTTATTAAGTCATACGAATTTAATTCAGTTTTTTTTTGTTAATTTATATTAATTTTCTATTTGAATGATAGAATATTGAATAACTAACCATATCTAAAGAGGAATCGTGGAGTTAGAAAATTATTAGATTACGGGCTAAGAAGTTACCGGAATAAATAATCTAAATAAATATCTATATTTAAATTTAATTATATACATGAATCAAAAAAATAAAGAAAATTAAGAATTTCATAAATAAGAATTTTATTTTATTGTTTACATGTTTGCACGAGATAACAATTAAAATATCAAGAAAATTATGTTGTTATATTTATTTTAAATATTATAATTTAAATTAATATCCATTAATTACTCAATTCATAAATCATATATATTTAATTAAATTATAAATGAGAATTATATTAATTAATAATGTATAAAGAATTTAATTTAATTATTTTATTAAGTCATACGAATTTAATTCAGTTTTTATTTGTTTATTTATATTAATTTACTATTTGAATGATAGAATATTGAATAACTAACCATATCTAAAAGAGGAATCGTGGAATTAGGAAATTATTAGATCATGCGTTAAGAAGTTACTGAAATAAAAGAATAAAAATAAATTATATTCATGAATTAAAAATAATTTTATAAATAAAAATCTTACGTGACTTTCTAAAATTATACTATTTAAAAAAATGACACTTGTCATTCATAGAGATACGCTTGTTATTCTTCTATTATATATATATAGATTTGGGAAGTTAAGACGAGTTCTGTACTTCCAGAGAATATTCCGAACAACAGCGGCTCATAGCCCCCTTAGCGAGATACAGCGAATCCCTTTACTTTCTAGCTGTTACTAAATCAAAGGCCTCACGTCAAAAATTATTTCAAAAAGAAATCGAACAAGATCGGAATTTTATTTTCCGCATCCGCTGATTGATTGGGGCCCAGTTTCGCCTCCGGTAGCCCCGCGACGGAATTTCTAGGGCTTCTGGTGCCTTTTCACCGGCGATTTTTTACTCCGACATTCTTATGTTTACGCCGCAGAGAAAGGGATGGCCTACTACAGTATCTTTTACACCCCAGGGAAGTGGTGTAGGGGCTAGTTCGAACCTCCTAAATTCCGGAAAAGGGAAGGCCGTTGCGTTTGCCGATGACCCGCCGCCGCCATTGGGTTCTCTGAGTGAGAAACAGGAGAAGATGGCGGTGGGGTTTGACTCCATGGGGAATAGTGAGGATTGGAAGAAATTTAAGGAGGCGGGACTGTTGGACGAAGCGGTGATGCGGAAGAAGGATCATGAAGCACTCATGGAGAAGGTTTCGAGGCTTGAAAAAGAGGTAAGCTTGAGAATTTTGAATATTTGTTGGTGGTCTATGACATACCTTGATGCTTACTGTTTGTAGTTACTGGCATTTCATCTTCAATAATGAAATCATGCGTAAACTTTCTTTATAAATAAATACTCTCCAGGATGAATACAAGCAATATCGCCCATGTTTTACTTAACTGTATGGGAACATCGGAATGGTCTTCCAAGTCCTAATGTGGAGTAACGTATTGAAATCTCCCCCTCGTTTAATTGAAATTGTCTCTTTCTTTGGTTGCTTAATATGTCAGAGTGCAACCTAATTCTCTCCTTTGAGGACTTTCAGACTCAATCGCTCAGTTACATTCAGAAGAAAAGAGAGACCATTATCATTCTTGACAAAGCTTTCTATCTCTCTAGAGCCTAGGGAGAGAGAGCAACCTACTTTACTGATAATTATCATTATTATGCTGCTAAAGTGATTATCGGGATTATTTGGTCAAAACTATTCTGTGAGAATTTTGGTTCAGCTATGGTTTTGAGAAATTGAGATAAAATATTAATTAAAAGCGTGATGCATGAAGGGTGTCTTGAGAGAAGCACGAACACGTCAAAGTCTTGTGTTTTAATTAGATTTGGAAGGATTATAGCAGAAATTTTTTTAGGGTTAATGGAACCATTCTTATAGAATGATTGTTTAGAAAGTTTCACCACTGACGAATTGATAAATCCAACTATCATGATGGCTATCTTTTATGGCTTGATGCATAGAGGATCAGATTTTATTTATTTCTCTCAGCAGGATGCTTTAAGAATAAGGTGACTACAGTTAGTTCTCAAGTCTTTAACTATTGATGTTAAGTTTTGGTTGGCCTCCACTTTCACCTCTAGTAGTATTTAATCTCATCAATAGTTGGATATTTAACCTCATTAAGATCACTTGGTATGCATATGTTGACATGTTGTCATGATCACAAATTGAGAGATTGAATGGATCGAAAAGGAGAAAAATAATATATATTATAGTGACTAATTAAGCTAAATCTTTGGTTGCTTCTTTCTCATAAAATGATTTCCTGGTTGCTTGTATTCCCGATATCTCTTTTTCTCCATCCAGTTAATTTGAACACAGGTCCTTTCCCATGAAGCACGAGGACTTCTAAATTCCAGCAATACTTATACCCTTGGATACCTCTTTGGGTACTCCAAAATAAGTAATATGTTGTCATTTTCTTTGAATTTCAATTTCAATACATATTGGAATTGTAAGTGTGCTCGCGAACTTTTAACTCAATGTTGAAGATTGGAAATGGAATATTACCATCTCAACAATTACAATAAAAACTAATTACTTTGATATTATATAATATTGCAGCCGAATATATTGAAGTTAAGTGAATTTTAAGATCAAATTCAGAAATATATCAAAGCAGTTTCATTACCTGTTTTTTAAATGTTGTAAGAATGATCATATAATAGAAGACTCTATATATTTAATCAGTACGTAATGCCATACATGTACTCTATATTTCAGAAAAATTATTGTGTTCAATAATCTTACCCACGCCTGCATTTGAAACATTATCTCTGCAACGTGGGTTTTTCTTTTTTGTGTATTTGAAGAAAACACTAGATAACTAAAACAAGTTCTTATGGAAATGATTTGCTATGTTTGTTTGACTGCTGATGAATTCTCTCTCCCTGTCCTCCCCTCTTTTATGCAGCTTTATGACTACCAGTACAGCATGGGCCTCCTGCTGATAGAGAAGAAAGAATGGAGTTCAAAGTTTGATGAACTGAGGCAGGAATTAGTTGAAACTCAGGAGATTTTTAAACGAGAGCAATCATCACACTTAATTACATTATCTGAAGCTGGAAAGAGAGAGGAAAATTTAAGAAAAGCATTAACCACAGAGAAGCAGTGTGTGACTGATGTCTGTAACTTTCTTCAATTATATTTCACCATCTGAAATTTGTATGTGCTTGCATATATTTATCTTCTGTTGTCCGTAATGTTGTCTTCTGTCTAACTTAAGTCAGTTCTTGTATTTCTTCATGTTATCTTATGCATTGTGTAAATTAGCTTTAAGATATGGTGTACTTGGCATAGTTATTTACCTGTAAAGGAGGTTATCTAGAATGTTTGAGGTGGGGTTTTCACTCCTTGTTGGGTGTGTGGAAGTTAAGTTTTTTATAATTGAAAGACATCGGCTTATAACTTTTCAGGATGATGATTTTTTTTTTTTTTTTTGCTTAGGTTTATCATAGTTATCAATTTAGTTCCTTAAGTTTAGTCTTTATTAATCAAGTCCCTAAAGTTTCATAACCATACACAATTAGTTCTTATGGGTTGAAGACGTATAATCCTATACATGTATGTGGTGTAACTTTTAACTCAAGTATGACAGCCTCTTCATTAATTGTGGAAAAAATTGCTAGTTCAATGAGATCAAATAAAAATATGAGATTGTGTATGAAATTTTAGGGACTTGATTGATAAAGAATTGTGTATGAAGTTTTAGGGACTTGATTGATAAGGATTAAACTTCAAGAACCAAATTAATAACTAAGACAAACTTGATGGATAAAATTTTTATCATCCCCAATTTTTCAATGGTAGATTATCATCCTCTTTTTTTTTTTTACTGCATTTTCTAGAATTTTTATGTGGTAGATTTGTGACAATAATAAGCCTTTTTGGTACACTAACCCCTTTCCTTGAATTTCACTGTAAGCTAAACTTTTATATATTTCTGATGATGTGATTGTTACTTTCCTTCCCCTCCCCCCTTCTCGTTCTAATGTTTTGTGTTTATGTTGTATCCTATTGGTTGGGTTTGAATTTTATATCAAGATTCATATCTTCTCAATTAATAGCTGGCCCATTCAGTATTATGAGCATTCTGTAGATGTGTAGTGGTATTATGTGAGTGTGATGAGATTTGTTTAACATTTCATTATGATAATTATTGTACATTTGATGTATTCTTGGTGTTTGGTATCACAGTTCATTATGATAATTACTGTATATTTGATTTATTCTGTGTTTGGTACACAGTCTATAATAATAACATGTACATCCAGAAAATTTCACATTGACACTTGAGCTTTCTTTAACTGTTGCGTTATGCAAATTTTCTGGAGGTTTGTGTTAAAATTATTGCATTTAAAACTATTTTTATGATGCAAAAGTTCATGAATGTGTAAGAGTGAGTCTCTTTTGGGTCAAACTTGCATATGATGTTATGATGTTAGCAAGGAAACCATTCTAAGAGTTTATTCTTTGCACTCTCAGTTCCTTATCACATTCTCCCTCTGTTTCTATTTATAAGAGAAACTATCACTTTTTGCTTCTTCTTTTTTTTATATATATAAGCAAAATCACATATTTCAATGAGCATTTATTACACATTTCCTAAATCATCCCTTATAATTTATATTAACAAGAAATAATTAATGCATGCTTATGTTGATTAACTTAGGGCATTTTAATCCAATTTTTTATTTTCAGATATAATTACTATGGTTAACTAACTTTCTTAAACTGTGTAATACAGTTTTTTTCTCTTATGTATAAAAACGGAGGGAGTATAAGTTATGGATAGGTAGTGCATACGTCTTTCAAGACACATAGCAATATTTAAAGAACATTATGGGTGGCATTAATCCTTAGCAATTTACTTTCCTTGATTGCCAAACTTATAAACTTAAGCTTCATATGTTGGGCATTTTTTATTGTCCTCACTTTGTTAGTTAAACATTTTTGCTGCTCTCTTCATAGTCTCAATTATTTTTGTTGGTTTTGCTTTCATGTTTCATAGTCTGGGTTGTCATATCTAATTCTCTTCTTTAATCTGTAAACCTAGCTTAACATTTGCTTAAACTGCTGTGAAAGTGAAGCTAATTTTCTAGAAGCTGACTTTGTTTAATTTTAAGTTGTTAACCCTTTCAAGCATCATGCATTCTTGGTTTCGTCATTCATGCCTGTCTTGCTCATTTTTATTATAAACAAACTGTGTTCAACAATCAAAGGGATGTCATGCTTTGTATTTTTGCCAGTTATGCCACCTGCAAGACGTTCGTCTCTGATTATCTTTCTGGGATCACGCTGGGTGGTAAATATATATTTTACATGCTAACACCAGCACTCAAGAATAAGCGTGGATGGTTGGAAAGAACATCCATTTACCCAAAGGAATTTTCCAATTTGTTTTGAAACTTCTTTCAATTATTTTGATTACCAATGAGCTTGTATGCAAGACATTTGTCATTCATTTGGTTCTATACACACGCATCTTGTACATGCACATGTAGTAGCATGCACACACATGTTAGTAGCAAGTAGGAGGATATGATCCTGATAAAAGTAGAGTTGCCATAACTTTTTCATTTCTTTGCAAAATTTTTAGTGGTCATTGATAATAAGTGGATTTATTAGACCTGATTTATTCTTCCTTTCTCCATGCTTGCATAATCTTAATATTCACTGTGCTTTTACATCTTATTGGTTGAATTTTAGGAATATAAATTTGAATGTCTTGCCTTCAGGTTGGGGTTGTTCATTCCTTACAGCTGTTCATGTTTCCTAATGTTTTACTAGTTAGTTTCTTATCCAGTTTAATTACTGGAGTCATAGGATATCTATACATGTTGCTTTTGTAAGCTGCTATGGTTGTCTATCTCTAAAATATGTGTAGAATCTACAAAAGTTGTGGTGTAAAAAAAAAAAAAAGGAATCTGTTGAAGTTTGTTCTTACTATGATGCTCCTGTGGCAATGGATTAATTGCAGCTTGAAAGAGCTTTACGTGCAATCCGAGAAGAGCATGACCAAGTCCAGTGTTCCTCCCAGGCAAAGTTGGCTGAAGCAAGTGCTTTGGTTGATGGAATTGAAGGGAAGTCTTCAGTTGTTGACAAGAAGTTGCATGATGCAGAAGCTAAGCTAGCTGAGGTCAACAGAAAAAGTGCTGAGCTTGAGATGAAACTGAGAGAAGTTGAGACTCGTGAAAATTTACTTTTGAAGGAGCGTTTGTCTGTAGTTACTGAGTATGTACTATGCTTTACATTTCTACTATTTTTAGACATCATGTTATATTTTATTCCTTGAACTATTTGAAGCAATTCATATACTAAGATTTTACCATTCATTATAGTCGAGAATCATTTGACGCAACTTTCTACAAGCAAAGGGAAGATTTAAAGGAGTGGGAGAGGAATCTAAAGCAACGAGAAGAAATGCTGTGCAAGGGCAGGCAACATCTCAGTGAGAGAGAGGAGAAGGAAAATGAAATTGATAAGCACTTGAAGCAGAAAAAGAGAGAATTAGAATCGCTGGAAAAAAAGATTGATTCCTCTAACTTGTCATTGAAGGAGAAGGAAACTGAGATTAGCAGAAGAGTTCAAGATTTAGAAACAAGAGAGAAAGTTAGTTTCTTCCTTCTTGACTTCTCTATTCTTTTTAAAATGTAACAATCTATTTTGTTATTTGTTGTTCTTTCTGTAATTTGACTGCTGCTTATACTGTTTCAGGAGGCTGATTCTTTAGGGAGCATGCTGGAGACAAAAGAAAAGAAATTACATGAAATTGAGTTTCAGCTAAGTGGTAGAGAACGAGTGAGTTTCAGGCATTTATAGTTATATAGTCTGCATACAATAAAATGTCATGTGAAGTTGCTGCATAGATAAACTTGATGACCTCATTATTTGTTTTTACTTGAGCCATTTTTGACAAGCAATGAATTGGAAAGAGATACAAATGCTTAGATTGTCACTTAAACTCATGTACATGTCAAGAGATTTTGTTTGTTAATTTTAAAGGTGTTAAACGTAATGCATCTGCTTTTTGCCTTGCTGGGCCGTAAGAGCGGTCTTGTTCAGTGGGGTGTTTACAAGGGGCAACAGACACCTTGAACAGGATCTTCTGACACCTGCATATCAGGTGATATGGTAAACTGTTTCAAAGAGAACATGAAGACATGCTTCTAAGACCATGGCTTCTTTTAATATTTCCATCGTGTTACTATGGTGCAAACTGACGCTCTGCTCACAATTGAAAGTGGGAGCAGTGATATTAACCCAGCTGCCTAGTTAATCTATAAGTAATTTATCAGTTTTCAGTCTAGCTTAGCTGAATGCCATTTAGGTCAAAATGATTAACAGTTTTTATAGTTTGCTTTGGGAGTTTTATTTTTTCAACCAAACAAATTCATTTCCTTTGCTAAGTGGAGGCCATGTGAACAAACTGAACTATAGAAAATTATTGTATAATGATTTACCGAGTCCTGTGGAATATAATGTGCCCTTTGTAGGAGCAAAGCCCACCAATAAGGGCATGTGTATATACTTTTCGTGCATTGTTATGTGCTGATATATTTGCATGCGTTTGACATTAGTGGTAGTTAGAACAGCCTTAGATTAATGAACAGCTGTATGTGTTCTAGAAGAGATGGGTGGACACAACTATCCCCCATATCTCTTTTATCTGAAGATTGTATATAGTCTGTATTGAAAATGAAGAAGCAAGCAAAGCTTGCATTCTCACATAACTCTATTGCATCAACTTTCTTTGAATGTCCAGTTGTTTGTAGTTGACTTTTGTATATTATACAATTATGTTGGATGCTGACACATGTCATTGCGGTTCTTGTAGGAGGGAATCCAGAAGCTCCTTGGTGAGCAAAAGGATGTGTTGGATTCGAAGTTGCAGGAATTTGAACTGGAAATGGAACGAAAGAGGAAGTCCCTCGATGAGGAGTTTAACAAGCAGATAGAATCCTTGGAGCAGAGGGAAGTTGAAGTCAACCATAGAGAAAAGAAGGTTGGGAAGGAAGAGTTGGCTTTGGGTAAGAAGGCTGAGAGAATAAAGGAGCAGGAAAAGGAATTTGAGGCAAAGTGGAAATCATTGAAGGAGAAAGAAAAAAGTATGAAAGTTAAAGAGAAAGAATTGGAGATGGAAAAGAAACAATTGCTTACTGATGTGGAGACCACGGAGAATCTGAAAGTTGAGGTTGAAAAGATAAGAGCTGAGATTTCTCAGCAGGAGCTGCAACTGACCAAGGAGAGAGAGGATTTGAAAATAACTAGGGATGAGAGGAAAGATCATTCCCGTTTGCAGTCGGAACTGAAACAGGAGATTGAGAATACAAGATTGCAGAGGGAACTTATTCTGAAGGAAACTGAAAACTTAAAGCAAGAGAGAGAGAGGTTTGAGAAAGAATGGGAAGTGCTGGATGAAAAAAGGGCTGCAATTAGTAGAGAGCAGAGCATAATTGATTCAGAGAAAGAAAAAATAAGAAAACTGCAACATACTGAAGAACAAAGGTTGAAAAGAGAGAAACAGGCTATGCAAGATCATACAAAGAGAGAGTTGGAGAAGCTTGAACTGGAGAAGGAATCATTTGCAGATGCAATGAGGCATGAGAAGCTAGTTTTGTCTGAAAAGACTAAAAATGATCATGCACAGATGCTTCAAGATTTTGAATCCCGGCGAAGGAATCTTGAGAATGAAATACAGAAAAAACGAGAGGAAATGGAGCTAGATTTGCAGAAGAGAGAGAATTCTTTTCAGGAAGAAATGGAAAGGGAGCGTAAAAATATTAGTCTCTTGAAGGATGTGACTGAGAAAGAATGGGAAGAAGTGAGGTCTGAACGGTATAGATTAGAGAATGCAAGAAAGGAGGCTGAGTTAAATAAACAGCAGCTGGAGTCAGCCCATCGTGAAATGCATGAAGATTCTGAAATGCTTATGAACCTGAGCAGGAAGGTTAAGAAGGAGCGTGAAAACTTTATGGCCGAAAGAAATCGCTTTCTTGCTCTTGTTGAGAAGCTAAGGGGCTGCAAGGGCTGTGGAGAAGTTGTTAGGGATTTGATTATATCGGATCTTCAGCTACCTGAGTTTAAGGAGAGGGTGGTTATCCAATCACCCATTTCACCGGTGCTGGATAGTAATCCTCAGGAGAATTCTGGGTGTGATAATGCTTCTTCTGACATGAAAAATTCTGGATCCGTAAGGACTGTGTCTTGGCTCCGCCAATGTGCTTCTAAGATTTTGAGTTTGTCTCCAAGTGGTAAAAGGGATGTCATCAGGGCACCTGGCATGGATGATTCGTCTCCATTGTCAGATCTGAAAATTGATACAGAAAAAGCTGAGGGCTCTGCATCTTTCTTGAATGTAGAAGTCACTAGACATATCCTTGAAGAAGTGCATCCATTAGGTGGGATTGCTCAGTTCTCTTCGGATTCTCAACAGCTCCAATCTGCTAACTTTATTAGAGATGTGGATGACAGGCATGATCCTTCTGTTGATCATTCTAGTTATATAGACAGCTTGGTAGAAGGAGGTCCAGAGGATTCTCAGCAGTCAGTTCCAAAGAGACAGAGAGGCAGGCCTGGTAGGAAACTGAAAGCTGGAGTCAACAGAACACGCTCTGTGAAGGCAGTAGTTGAAGAAGCAAAGGAGTTCCTAGGACAACCTTCAGAGGAACTGGAAAACGCAAATCTGGAGTCTCTTAATACTGATGAGGCAAAAGATGACAGTCTAGAAGTGTCTACTCACACTGAGAAAGCTACTGGTAAATCTAAAAGGAAACGGCAGTATGCACAAACATCTAGGGCTACACAAGGTGAGCAGGATGCTGATTCTGAAGGACATTCTGATAGTATTGCAGCTGGTGTGCGCAGGAAGAAAAAGCAAACGGTTCCTCCTCCAGAAGAAGTTACTGGAGAGAGGCGATATAATCTCAGGCACCACAGAAAGTAAGTTAACTACTTAATTTTAGTTCTGGCAGTTTCATCTGGGACAAGAATAGTTTGATTAAATTAATACACTGGTTGTTTTCTTTTTGGTGAATAGTCTGTTAGAGCTGGCTTATGGTGTCAAGTATTGGGACTGGTCCTTTTTATAGGCTATATCTTGCTTGTCCAGAGTCTTGGAGCTGAGTGTTGAAGTTCTACAATATAATTTTAGTTCTTTTTAAGAAAAATGAACATTGTTGCATCTTGATTCTATTGCGGTGGTCTGTTGAAAATAAATTAGAATCTATTTACTAGCACAGGGTTCATATCATTCCCCACTCACGCCCCTTTCTGTTTTGGGGAAAAAGATAGAAAAGGAACAATTGAAAAAAAAAACCTTCGAGCGCTGGCTGGCTTGTGTTTGCCATTTTGGTTTACAACTTAGAATATTGTGTCATCTTGGTAGAATAGATCGTAGACAGGTTCTTTATCTTTTGACATGTCAATTATTCAGTAACATCAGTCGATGTTATTTATACTCTTTAAAAATTCTGGGGAAATATTTTCCTATTGCAAAACAAATTTGGAGATGAATTCAGGTTTGGAGTGATACTGTTCACTTATTCACTGATGCATGCTAGTTTTGAGATACGCTCTCAAGATGATAATTTCTGAAAGCGGTTGAAGCATATTTATTTTTCTAATGGTCATTTGACCTGTTTTTAACAAACCAGAATGTTATGGCTTTTAAAACGATCTTTAATTTGAACCTGAGGAAATCTTTTAAATATTCACTTTTGTTGGTTCATATAGTGCATTACTCCTTCTGGTTCTTGATACAAGGCAAACTTCATAACTTCGCTCATATTAAGAAATGATAGTTGTATTCTCAAAATTGTTTAAAAAAAAAAAGATGTAACTTTCCGATTTTCCCCTTTTTTGCAATTAATAACTGTAATAGATTGTTGTCTAAGAATTCAAATCATAATGAATAAACAAGGGTTAACATTAAAAAAATAATTATTCTAAATTTAACTTATATTAAGTATCAAAAAAATAAAGCTTTCAAAGTTTGCCTTATATTATCTGAAGGAGAATTTATTTTTGACAAATATTCTGACGTTCTTTGGATTCATTTATTGTCAACGTGGTTGATACAATTCCCTTTGCTAACCATGCACTGCACATAATGCCTTTTGAGTGTTAGTGTAGTCTTGGTTAAAACATTTTTTGAATTTTCTAATAAACTTTTCATGTCGTTAGCAGTTCGACCATGGCTCCCTCAGATCGGGTCATGTCTAAGGGAACAAAGACTATTGAGCAAGTAGCTAGTGGTGGTGGGTTAAAGGATGGACAAAACCCAAAAGTTGTCTCATCAGTAGTAGCTGATGGCAATGCTCAAAGCAAACATGGAGTGGAGGTTTTGACAGTAAACCATGTAGATTTCTCAGTTGATAGAGTTGTAAGGGTAAGACATGGCAGCCTGTTTTGATGATTGATTTGGCTACATTTATGAGATTTATGTTCTATTTTATTCATGTACGTATATCTCTGTTCAGTTCGAAGAACCAAAAGACATTGTTGAAGACAACGGAGATGAACCCAAACCTGCCGAAGTTGAGTTGAGTGAAGAAGTGAATGGTACACAGGAGTATAGAGATGAGGATGGAAGTACAATCCAAGAAGCTGAAATTGACTATGACGATGAACAAGATGAAGATGAAGATGAAGCAGAAGAGGAGGAGGATCATCCAGGTGAGATATCAATTGGAAAGAAGATATTGAAGTTTTTTACAACGTGATGGAAGGAGCTTTTTTTCCCTCTTCCATCCAATGATAGAAATAACATCTTTGTTCCCTTGGAAATAGGAATTTAGGCATGTAATATTTTAAATTTACCATATGGGATTAACCTTCAGATTTGTCTGTCTTGCAGATAAGATAGTGCTTAGTTTCTGGATTCTTTTTCTTTTTGCTGTTTTTTTTTTTCAATCCTTAGCTTTGTGAGTTACCACTTGTTGTGCCCCAATAGGCAATACAATGGACAGACTTGGGGTACTTGTGTTACATCCTAGCTGTACCTTAACCATTTAGCATTAACTTGAAGGTGAATCTTAAGGTGGCCTTTGGATGGTGCATTTTAGAGTTACCATGTAATTGTGATATACCAGGAAATTAAACTTGAAAGTTCAGGCCAAGTTTTAAAAAAAACAAAAGAAAAAGCTTCGAAGTTATTGGTCAAGAAAAGACAATTTAAATTGAACAGTCATTTTCAATTGATAACATTAGATTGCTGATTGACAAGGCTTTGATGGTTTTGAATGATACCATTTCATAAAAATATTCTGTGTAGATTTATTCTTTAAATGGTTTTTTGTGGTTTGAGATGTTTGGGCGATTAACAATTTTGTTTACAATGATTATAAGGTATGAATGTCATCTTTGCACATTTATCCAGATTCTCAATCTCAATATAAAACATGGATTATATAGCAAGTTGCCAGGGTACATAAGTTTTATGATTCTTTACATTTTAATAATTCATGGAGCTTTGTTTAATACCACCATTTACCACTTGTGTTAGGTTATGGCTTTTCTAGGCTTTTCCATTTGTTGTTCCAAAAAAAATAAATAAATTGATACATCAAAAAAATTTTATTAGAACGTGGTAATGCCTCATGATTTGTGTTGGTGAAAGTTGAAGTTTAATGTTTTTTCTTTGAAAAACTGATTATAGGACCATCAGGCCTGAATCATTGGACGAAAGTCCCAAAGACTGATTTAAACTTTTCAGGGTACCATGGTTTTTCAGTGGCAATATCTTTAGATATGAAAAGGCTTGAATACCCTTAAAGTGAAAAATTGCTGAGGCGAGACTGTTTTTTCAATAAAATGAACAATTTTCATGAAAAGGCCATCTATCTACAACTTCTTCCCAAGGTCTTCAAGTGTCTGCAAATATCTTCAACGTATATTTTTCAACAATCTTTCACAGTCTTCAATTTTCTTCCATGGATCCTCAACATTGTCGGAAGATTAATGGAGGATATTTTCTGCATCTATGTGCAAAGTTATTTCACTAATCTTTTAGGTGTATGCAAATGTCTTTCACAAATAGGTATTCAAATATTTTTTTCCCACAAGATTGAATTTTCTTTCACAATGAAAACCAATATTCAATTATCTTTCAGTGATTGAGGATTTCGGGTTGATTTTTTTTTCTGTGAAAAAGATTTAGTATATTCTAAAAATTTGCTAAGGCTTAGGTCTTTTTCCAGAAAAATTGAAATAATTTTTATGAAAAAAATAATCTCAATGACTGGGGTCTTGGGTTCATTCATTTTTTTCCTAAAAAAGGTTATAGTATATTCCAAAAATTTGCCGAGGCTAGATATTTTTCCGAATGAATTGAAATAATTTTCATGAAAAAAAAACATATTTTATGACTGAGGTAAGGTCTCGGTTCATCGACTTTTTCCCCAAAAAATTCAATATATTTTGGAAGATTGTTGAGGCCAAATTGTTTTCCAAATAAAATGAAGACATTTTCATGAAAAAATATCTCAATGATTTGAGGGCCTCGATTCATTCATTGTTTTCCTAAAAAAATTGGTCCGGCAAGATCGTTTTTCCACTTTCATTTCCTTTTTCCTTTTCTTTTTTGCAATTAACATGAATGGCATTTTAATCTTTTTCATTTTTGGATATATTGCCACCGAACGACCATGGTCCCCTAAAATATTTAAATCATCCCAACGGACTTTTACCCTAACATTTGGGACTCATAGTCCCCCCCCCCCAAACGGACTTTTACCCTAATATTTAAAATTTTAAATATTGAACAAATATTTGACTTATTGAGCTTCATTTTTTTAAAATAATAATGATTAAAAAAATTATTTAAAACTCACAATGCTAAAATTAAAAGTTTAAAAAAGTACTTTATAAAATTAAAAGATGAAATTAAAATTTTATATAAAATTAAGAGATTAAAAATATAGTTTAACTTATTCATTATTATTTTTATTTTTATGATTTAACTCATATTTTTTAAAGATGCCAAGTGGCAGGTAAAGAATGAGAAATGGATAGGACGTGGGCTATGGGCCTAAGGCTAAAGCTATGTGTCCTTAAGCCTTTCAACCTCATTACTTTATTACCTCTTCACTTTTGGGTGGTTCCTTTCTTTTAATTTAGCTTCATACATTCATACACCTTTCATATCTTTTATCCAACTACCTTTGTTTTCATTTTTTCTTTAAGAACCTTAATTATTGATTTATATAATTTCATCAGATTTTATCTTTAATTCTATAATTTTTTAATTCTTATAATTTTAACAGGATTTTAAATATTTGTTATTCAAATCTTTATAGTTTCAGTATTTTTTATTAAAAAATTATAAAAATTAAGAACAAAATTTGATAAAATTATAGAGACTAATAATTGTGTTTTTCTATGAAGAACTAAAGTATCTTGTTAGTACCTTAATTTTATATCAGATTTCGGTTTAGTTGCTTAGTTTTATTTTTTATTTTTTTGATGAATAGTTGCTTAGTTTTATGAAATATATTTTCAGTCTTTTAATTCTAGTTCTGTTAGTTTTAAATGATTATTTTTTTATATCAATTAATTTTATTTTAAAAAATTAGATTTAATACTTTAATATTTGAGAATATTTTATCAATATTTAAAAATTTAATGTAAGAGGTTTTTTGTTGATAAAACTAACGCTGTTAGAATTAAAAAATAAAAAAATACTTTATAAAATTAAAGGATCAAATGAGATGTTGTATAAAATTAAAGAAATAAATGTTTAATTTAACAAGAAAAATACTTATTTTTTATCTCAAAATAATTACCTGAGAAGTGACAACTGAAATTTTATATTTTATAAAGTGTCTTTTAAAAAGATATTATTCTTAATCCAAAACATATGGTGTTTTGCAATATTATATAATGGCTTCTCATTATAAAATTGCTTCTATTTATTTGTCCATTAGCCTCTTAGCCTCTACTTTGTTACAAGTTGTTTTGGCACCCCCATCCTCCTCCCACCCCTTCACTTTTTGGGTGGTCCTTTTATCTTTTCAATTTAACTTTAACCAATCAAAAAGCTTTCATTTCTTTTACCTACCATTGTTTTCTTACAAAAATCGAAAAAAAAACAAAACAAAACATAATAATTGTATGGGTTTCCATATTACTCCCTTGGGTAATATGGAATATAAGCTGTTTTGAATACTTAAAAGGTATTTTTCTTAGCCCCATGTCCTTGGTCCAGAATATAAGTTGTTTTGTAATATTCATTTCAGTCCAAAATACATGACACCTTTAATTATTTTATAATGATAAAAAATAGTTAAAAATGATTTGTATTATTAAAATGATTAAAAAATAAAAAAAATATAATCATTGATCCTTATAATTTTATTAATTTTTATTTTTAGTCTTTTTTTTTTAAATTTTCAATCTTTATAGTTTTAGTAAAAGTGAGTGATGTTTGCTCCTCAGGTCTCTAAAAGTAAAACCTAATAAAAATATAAGGATCAATAATTATATTTTTCCTATAAAAATATTACTACTCTCTATTATTGCTCTCGAGTTAAAGTAAATTTATCTTAATTATCCCTAATTTCTCCTTTACATAATCTCTTTTTATAATATATCACCTTGATTTCTATTATAAAGCACCTTCTAAAAGGATTTTTTTGATCTTTAATACGAGACATGTGGGGTGTTATTTATTACTCTTTCTATTTAAAAATGTAAGGCATTTTTTGAGCAGTTAGATGTTAAAAAATGTAAGGCATTTTTAATCTTTTAAGATATAATCATTACCTTTTTTTAAAAAAAATATCCCTATTAATGATGACTTTATATTTATTGTAGGGTGTTTAATAGAGATAAATATAAAAAGATAAAGTTAGTTTGAAAGTAGGTAACTACTAAAAATGCCTTATATTTTTAAGTGAAAGAAGTACCATTTTTCAATTTTATTCATATTATAAATTTAACTGTATAACTCATCTTTTATTATGTATATCTCTCTTTCTATTATTAATAGTAGTAAATCTGAAAATATTTTTCATTTTAAGACATATTTTTAATTAATTGTTATTTCTTGGTTGTGGGAAAGTTGTTGAAAGTATTTTATAACATAGATTAAAAGAAGTAATTAATAAGAAAATTTGTTAAAAAATAATTTAGTACTATTGACTTTTTGTAAAATATCCTACATTTTGTACTAACACTTAATGGTAGAAAATGTCCTATATAACATTCCAATTTTTATTTTTTGAATTTAAATAATATGGGGATGAAATTTTATGGTAATTGAAATTTATCATGTAAATGTTGGGTAAAAATAATTTACTAAACTAAAAAAAAGAGTTAAGACATCATTTTAGAAAATGGAAAAATTTATAATATTATGTGAAATTAATTTACTACTTAAAATAATGTTACGTTGTAGCATATTATAATAATCACTTATATAGTTAAAACATATATAAGCAAAAATATAAATTTAACTGAATCTTACAGATTTTGAGAGAGTGTTGAAAAAGTTATACAAAAGATAATTTAAAATTTCATAAGACCAAAATACGATATTACAAGATGGGGAAAAAAACCTATATAATATATTATATTATAATATATAAACATATATATAAAAAGATTAAAAAAAGAAAACGTAATAACCAAAAAAAAAAATATGAATAACCAAATAGTTGTGCCCACAACCCACTATTTGGTCATCCATTAGGGTGATTATCGATTGCAGCTTTTTTCCTTCGGCAACGCAATTCAGACGCCAACACAAGGGTCAGATGAGATTGTGAGGGAGTGTAACAGCGTAGGAGCTTTATTTGGGCACTGTTAAGTCCCAAATATCTAATTTATCTATTTCGAGACCCCAAAAAAGTTACTCCATAAGTGATTTTTTTTTTCTCTTATTTTTCCTTTTTGATATTTTTGCAATCTCATAAGGGAAGAAATTTAGAGTTAAATATATTTTAATTTTTTAGGTGTTTCCAACTGGATATTAGGATGTTAAAAGATTTTTTTTTAAAAAATTAGATTAAGAGTATATGTGTATGGGCTTTGTTCAAATCTTTGATTTTGAAGACTTTATAGTTGTTTTGAATGTTTTGAAAGATTTATGAAACTTAGTTATGAATCAATGGGCTTAAAAATTTCTCTAGAAGTTGAATTTATTTATAAATAAGCTGAATAAAAGGATTGGAGTTGAATATATGAAATTTGAAAATGGGATGATAAATTTTAAAGATAGAATTTGAGTTTTTTTTAGGAAAATTTTAATATAAGGAGTTTTTATTAATTTTATAGAGGTGGGAAAATGAACAAAATTTATAGAAATTAATTTAAATTAAAGGATAAAATAGTTTAAAAGTTAAATGGGGAATGTTGGAAGCTGTTACAGTTAAATTTTTGAATAAGATAAATTATTGAGACTTATTAAATAATATATTTGTTATTATTAATTTTTGTAGAGTAACATTTGAGTTGGTAATGCTGAGAACATTTTGGTACAAATAGTTTTAGTTTAAAAAAGAGGTAACAATGATCATTCTTTTTATATTAGGAAATTATTTTTATATTGTTCTAGAAATTTTATGCTTAGTGAGAGCATGTTTGATTGATTCTGGATTAGAAATCTATGCTTTAAACCATCTAGCAAGCTTGTGTAATATTTGCACTGTGATATAACTATTTTGTTCCTTTCAAGCATGTTATTTTTTGTTGAGTGGTGACTGTATTGTGAAAATAATTTTTTATGATAGTTTAATTATGTCAAACATACTTTTGTTTTAAAAATTGGAATAATATGATTTAAATTTTTCAAACATACTTGTAAGTTTGAAATTGTTTTGATTGTCATGGATTTGTAGAGAGTATAAGGGAGGATATGATTATAGTAGATGTATTAGAAATTTTGTTATTTTGGTCATTTGATAAGTCACTATCAAAGATCCTGTGGTTAGCATTTCGACCTCTTTTTCCTAGTTTGGAACTGTAGAACATTGGATTAAACCTTTAATTTCTCACTAATTCCAAGATTCTCCATCTCCACTTTTTCCTCTCCAAGGATAAGCTATGGGAGATGGAACAAATAATGAACATCTTTCAACCCCTAAAAAAAATTATCCAAAATTTAAAACTATGACTTTCTTCTGCTGTAGACCCTCATAATTTATAACTCTTTTGATTAATATGTACATCTTTCAATAAAAAAAAAGGAAAAGAAAACACACACACACTTTTACTTTCTTTAAAATCAAATGTTTTACGATGATGAATCTTCCTTTGTTATGATAAAGACTACTTAATTGGAATGGATTATGACTTGCAAAGGCAAATATGTTATATTTAGAGCGGATAATATATGATGAGCTTGATGAGTCAATTTGAATAAGTTTAAAAAATTTTAAAGTTGAGTCATCCATAAGAATAATTTTAAAAAATTTTGGCTCTGATTATATTCATCTTTTCTTCCCACTTTGCCCTTCTAAGATTTGGCCTACTTATTGGGCCTACCTAAATACAAAATAATCAAATTTAATGCAAAAATCATTCTAGAAAAATACATGAATCAAGGTTTTGAGTTCAAGTCAGTATGAATACAAAAAAAAAAACTTTTGGAAAAACTACTCCAAATTAAATTTAACAATGTTTAATTGTGATCCAATAAGATAGGTATATAAAAAATCATATAAATCAAATAAACATCAAGCTTATCCCCTCCCTCCAATTGATTTTTTTTAATACCCATTCCAATTGAATTGTTAACAGAATAATGATCAAATCAATACTTTTTTTTTTGAAAAATCACAATCAAGGACCCTTAAAAACAATTAATTATGCTGTAGGATCAAAAGATTTAAATGTAATTAAAATTTATTGTGAAAAGATAAAATTATCCATGATATATTTTTGTTATGATAGAGGAATTAATTATTGTTAAAATAGAAACGAGACTTTTTTTTTTGAATGAAGACTTATTCACCAAATTATAATAATTTCACTATCAAATTAATACTTTGTAGTTGTTAATGAAGGATTTGATTGTTATTGGAATGAAAATGAGATTTGTTTACCAAATCACAACACTTGTTTCTCTCCATCACTAAATTAATTTTTTTTTAAAATTGTTAATAAGGGAATTCATGGTTGTTATAATGCAAGTAAGACTTATTTTTTCTTAAATAGGAACTTGTTCACCAAATCACAATCCTTATTTCTTTCCACCATTAAATTAATTTTATAGAGTTGTTAATAAAATAATTGATCTTTATTAAAATATAAATCAGATTTGTTTTTTTTTAAATGGAGAATTGTTGTTAAAAAAATACATCACATACACTTGAAGGTATTTTTATGTTTTCATAATAAAAATAGGTACTTTAATCCTGGAAAATAGTATTAAAATTATTTAATCCTATAACATAATTAATTGTTTAGATTCTTGATTGTAATGTTCCCTTTTATTTGGTGGCGACCTTTGAGAAAACAATACCAAGTGGGATCAGAAGTTGGTGAGGCCCCACACGTCTTTGAAAGTACCCAAACTTGAATGTTTTGCATCAAATCCAAAGAGTGAGGAAGCAATGTAGTATTATAGTTAGCTTTCCTTTTTCAATGCTTCTGTGCTCTCTCTGTCCTCTCTTTTTCTTTCTGCTCTCTCAGAGCTGCCCTATCGCCACCCATAGTACACTAGTCTATGTGTTTTACCTCTTTACCATCAAATGCTAAAATGATTCATCTTCATTATTCAATCCATATTTAATTTGTTGCTGTAAGTTTTCCACCTAATTGTCTCCTACAGTTTGATGATTCACTTTGTTACCGCTTAATATTCGAATGACATCTACGGCACGCTGTATTTTATAAATAATGAAGGAATAATGTATTTCTCATATAATATGAGACCTCAGGGTTTTAATATGTTTATGCGTGAGGAATATATTTTCGGCTACCTGTAAGCTAGTTTCTTGTACTCACAAAAAATTACTCCATGAGAGATATTGTTTTCTTGTAAGTTCACTTTTCTTTTTTGGTTGATATTTGCTGAAACTAAAATTATCATATTCTAATTTCTAAGCAAGATTTTTTTTTAAAAAAAAAGGTTGATTCCCATGCCATAATACCACGCAAATAATTTGAAAAGGTGCCTCCGTGACCTAATTATTCAAGTTCAGCTTCAATGTAAAGTATTGTATGATTAATTTATACAATTTATTAACAAACACACTAATATATGTATATATATATAATTTTTTTATATATTTCAACTTGAATTAAAAATTCATAAAATTTGGAACCTTAAGTATAGACCTTTTTCAATAAAAAAGAAGAAAAAGGAAATGTCATTTTGAATCAGACTGTGGTGGAAACTGTGATCTGCCCTAAATAAGATATATCTGTTTTGTCCTCCATGCAATTTCATGCATCTTTACTATTGCATGAGTTCTGACCCCAAGAAAAAAAAAAAAAAAAACCCTATTGCATGGGCAAGAACAACAGTTCTCTCTCTTCTTCATTTTCTCACCTCTCTTCTAACTAATCCCTTTCAACTCCAACCTTTCTTCTGCAACCATAATTCCCTTCAACTACCAAACCCATTTCTCCATTCTCAATCCTCAATTCATAGCCTTCCAAAACTCTGACCCTAGCCCTCAACTAGTTTCCCAATTTTGTTGCACGAGAGAATCACAACGCAAAGCAGAGCTGTATTTATATTTGTGTGTGTGTGTGCATAGCTTTTGTTTTCCATATCATCACAGACCTTCTCCAGTGCTACAACTCTGATAATCTAAATACGGTCATTACTAATACTAATCATGATGATAGTAATGAATTTTCTTTTGACTTTGTGCCTTGATAACTGTGCTAAGCTGGTGCTGCTTCTTTGTGTTTTGTTGAGTTCCTTTGATCTCTCTCTGCCTATATGCTTCCTTAGCTTTTCTATTAAACACTAGGCAGATAAAGGGGTCAGATTTCTCACTGCTTTTGTGCTTTCCTCCTCACCTTGTTTTGAGCATAAATTTAGCATCTTCTTCCTCCTGTGGAACCAAGAAAACCCCTTTTGGCATTTCGCTTGATTCCCAGTCCTTTCTTTCATTCTTCTTCTTATGCGTCTGTTCATCATCTGGGTTTGGTTAATCCTATTTTGACTCCATATCTGTATCATTATCATAATAATGAGCTTCAAAACTGTTGTTATTGGTCATGCCATTTTGGCTGTGTTCATTATTCTCCTTGTGGGTTCAAGGTGTTTTGGACAAGTAGAAGAAGCTGATGTGAGTATGGCTCCAATGGAGAAGAAAGAGCTGGAAGCACTTTACTCAACCATACAAGGCTTTGTTGGTAATTGGTGGAATGGCTCAGATCTCTATCCTGATCCTTGTGGGTGGACTCCTATTCAGGTATAAACCTATATACTGGATTCTGCTGCAAGCAAAAAGAAAGAAGAAAAAAAAAATCTAGAAAATGACTTGGTTTGATAGTGTTATACTTTAGCAGAAGTACTGAAACTGTAATTATCCACCAAGGTCTATACTGTTCTCTGTACAAGTTACATGCAATGTTCTGTGATCATGTTCATCACCCATTTTATATATAGCTCTCAATTAAGTTTTGAGTTTTTAACAATTCAATATGTTTAATAATTTCTGTTCTGAATTCTACTGCAGGGTGTGTCCTGTGATCTGATAAATGGATTCTGGTATGTTACTACCTTGAACATTGGACCTGTATACGACAATTCTCTTACTTGTGTCCCAAACTTGGAATTCAGATCAAACTTGTTTGAGCTCAGGCACCTCAAAGTCTTGTACTTCTTCAATTGTTTTCAATCACAAGACAAATACCCATTTTCCATCCCCAAAGGAAACTGGGAGAAACTGAGTGACAGCTTAGAATCGCTCGAGTTTCGATCCAACCCCGGTCTTGTTGGAAGCATTCCGTCCTCTCTTGGTGTTCTCAAGAACCTTCAATCACTTATACTGCTAGAAAATGGTCTAGCAGGTGAAATACCCCCGCATATTGGCAACCTCATCAAGTTGAAAAGACTAGTTCTTGCAGAGAATTCATTATCTGGGCATATTCCAGATGTTCTTAACGGTTTCACTGAGTTGTTAATCCTTGATCTAAGTGGAAACTCACTATCTGGGCCTTTGCCTCTATCAGTTGGAAGCTTAACTTCACTGTTGAAGCTTGATTTAAGCAACAATCATTTAGAAGGCAATCTGGTAAAAGAGATTGGTCATCTCAAGAACCTGACCCTCATGGACCTGAAGAACAACAAATTCTCAGGTGGGTTGTCACAATCTTTTCAAGAGATGTTTTCATTAGAAGAACTAGTCTTGTCAAACAATCCAATAGGTGGAAGCCTGAGGATTCTAAAGTGGGAAAATCTCCAGAACCTGGCAGTTCTTGAGCTCTCAAATGTGGGATTGAGAGGGGAAATTCCTGGGTCACTATCAAGATTGAAGAGATTGAGATATTTAGGTCTCGGTGATAACAACCTCACAGGGAATCTCTCTCAAGAACTAGCAAGCCTTCCTTGTCTCAATGCACTGTACCTAAACAGTAATAATCTGACAGGAGAGCTTAAATTCTCTGAGGAGTTCTACGGAAAAATGGGAAGGCGTTTTGGGGCATGGAACAACCCTAAACTTTGCTATGCAATTGGAAGAATGATGTCAACAAGTCATGTTCCTTTCGGAGTAAGGCCATGCTAGCAACAGCTACAGGGTCAAATTGTTTGAACCAAATATAAAAACTGAACTGATTTAGTTCCTGTTCCATCCTTCTGTTGCTGCAAGATAACTCTGTTAGTTTTACATATGATGTGAATACATAAATTGTCAACTCTTCGCATCTAATTATAGTGCCCTTCTACTTTTCTACTATTGAGATTTAACGTTCTAGTATTGAGATTTGCGTCCTTGTGATCATTCATGTGTGGAAAATAAAGAAAGCTAGCAAGGAATTTGAGGGCTATACGCGCTCGCGCACACACGAGGCAAACTAGGCTTCCATTAATTTCATTGCTTTATTGGGATTTTCAAGCTATATCGTACAGTTTTTCTCGAAAGAGACATTGATCATCGATGACGGGTCTTTTCACGGATACTGTACAGTGTAAATAGCTCTGTAATCAAAGTCCAAAAAAAAAAAAAAAAACAGTTCTTCGACTAATAACAAAATAACCTTTTAAATGTTCCGTTTGCTCAACAAAAAAAATAAAACCCCCTTTTAAATGTTCCAACTTATTTTTTTTTTAAAACAAAGCATAACTGTTAGTTTCAATAATTTGGTTGATATTGCTTTTAACTTCTATAGTATTTTTTAAATATTTTTAGTCCTATCAATTTCTAAAAACACTGAAATTAATGGAGCTAAATAATAAATTTTACTTAATTTTATTAAAATTATAGGGATTGAAAATATTTAAAAAGAACAAAACTCTAATAAATTATAAAAACTAATGATTATATACTTTGTTAATTTCTTTGAACTCCTTAACAAAGGTGGATGATCTTTTAGTAACGCAAACTAGACATAAGCTTATTTAGTGGAAAAGCACATAAGTTTCAGTTTAGAAGTGATTATTATGAGTTAACTAAGATCACAAAACAAATGTTCTTTAAAATTAGTGTTTTAAGAGTTTGAATATTTTATAGGGAGAATTTTAACCAAGAATTATGGATGTGATTTAATTATTAATGAATTTTAAAAATTTAAAATTTCAATTCAATCTAAAAGGATTGAAATAAAAATAATTTTAATGATAAAAAGATTAAAACACCCTTCACTTATTAATTTTGCCCGAGGTACAAATTAAATCATTTGTTGTTATTTTTTATTTCACTTGTCAATTTATCAATATGAATTATAAATTAAATCAGTTATTAATTTGTTAACTTATTAATTTACTAACATCAATTTACAATTGATGTGACTTAATTATTAATGAGTCTCAAAAAAATTTAGTTGTTAATTTATTAATTTACTAACATCAATTCAATTTATAAGGATTGAAATGAAAATAATTTCAATGATAAAAAAATTAAAATATCCTAAACTTGTTAATTTTATCTTAGGTATAAAATTATTAGTTGTTAATTTTTTTATTTCACTTGTTAATTAATCAATATAAATTGTAAATTATATTAGTTGTTAATTTGCTAACTTTATTTTTTAATTTATAAATATCAGTTGTAAATAATTTAACAATTGATATTATTACTTGTGATTGAACAACTAATGTTAACTTTTATATACATATAATTTATAACTTATATTGATAAATTAACAGATAAAATAAAAAAATTAATAATTAATAATTCTATATCCTAGGTAAAGTTAACAAGTGAAGAGTATTTTAATTCTTTTATTATTAAATTTATTTTCACTTCAATCCTCTTAAATTTAATTAAAATTTCAATTTTTTTGAGACCCATTAATAATTAAGTCACATCAATTTTTTTCGAAACACATTAATATTTAAGTCACATTTCTAATACTTAATTGAAATTATTTTTATTTTATACTCTCTCCGTTAAAAAATATAAGGTATTTTTTAAAGAGTTGGATGTTAAAAAATGTAAGATATTTTTAGTCTTTCGATGTGTAATCATTACTTTTTTTTTCAAAAGTATCACTATCAATAATGACTTTATATTTATTGTAAGGTATTTAATAAAGATAAATATAAAAAGATAAGGTTAGTTAAAAAATAAATAATTATTTTATTAAAAAATAAAATTTAATTAAAAACATTTTATATTTTTAAACAAAAAGAGTACTCCCTCCAGTCCCATTTATAAGTTTCATTTTAGAAGGTACATTTGGTTCCATTTATAAGTCATGGTGCGTCTTTTTAGGTAATATTTGAGAGGTATTTCCAAAATTACTCTTTATGAGAGAGATAAAGTAACAAAACATTACTTTTTAAATGTGTTATACAGAGGCAAGTTTAAAATTTTACTTACTTTTATTGTATTGGTATTGATGAAGTTGGTAAAAATTACTTGAATTTAATATAAAACTAACAAGAGAATGGTATACGTGAGATGTGAAATTAATGTCGTATCTGAAACGTTTGATGGTTGTCATTACATAGTACCAAAACGGTATGATTTTCGGGCCTGGTAAGGTTGTACAATATTACGTCATGACAAGTTCGACGAAACTGAATCACATAACAATGATTCAGATCCTAAAATGTTCATTATTAAAAAAAAAAAAGGAAATATCACCTATCCACTTGTCTTGTATGGCTCTATGAACCCGTATTTCACTTTCACGTACAAAAACAATATCATTATCGTTATGCAAATACTACGTATGAAGTTTGGTTCCCCCCCCCCCTTCCTTCTTGGGTTGTAGTCTTGCCCTGAAACACACTAATGCAGAGATCTGGCTTTGTGTGGACCATCAGGTTCAGAAGAAGTTTAAACATACAGTGTTTTGAAAGTATCAACTGGTTTGCAGTTGTGTTACCTTAAAAAGAGGTTTCAAGTTTGAATTTTGAATACACAATCACATTAAATACTTGTTTTTAAGAGCTCATCAATGTTGTAAACTAACCCATCTCAATTCAAGTTAATCTAGAGATCAAAAAAACTGCAGATCACAAGTAAGAAAACAATCGAGGAGTACATAATCTAGTTAGAGACTTTATTGGAGGAATCAAAGGTCTCATTCAAGTCATAAATAATGCAAATAAAATAAGTACATATTGGAAAAGCTTGCAACCCTTGTAGTCTGACCTGGCTATAAATCCAGATTAGTGGAAATCGGAAGAACATATGGAGGGCAAAATATCGAGGAGGAAACAAAACGGAAAGCTAGGATGGTGTTGGGTCAGTGAAGTGAGATTTCCAAGGCATTAAAGAGTTTAGAGAGAGATTAGAGGAAGAGGATAGAGACGCAGGCTATACATGTAGAGGCTAAACGAGTAGGGCACAGTGCTATTAATGTGAGGCTTCTGATTAAAGTGAAGGAAGGGAGCAAGCTTGCGATGATGGAGGTTGAGTCTGTTTAATTATTTAAGAGCTCTTTGATTTCTTTCACTCTATTATTTACCTTGTTTTTCTTTGCTTTTTCTTGGTGCAATCCAAGCCCATTAGTTTATGGGAGGATGATAGTTGATGGATAAGTCCCAATCGAATCAGTTAATTTAAATTACTCCCTCCGTTTTTATATGTAAAATATTTTAAATCAAATCATATAAATTAATAAAAATTAGTTATATAATTAAAAATACAATAATATTTTAATTTTGTTCTTAATTATAAGAGAATTGCAAATAGGTGTCATACAGTATACTTATTTACAAATAAGTCCTGTAAAATTTAAAAATTATAACTAAGTTTCTTGAAATTTGAGTTTAATTTATGAATTGGATATGAAGATAATATTGCCCCTATTAATTTAGCTTTTACTTACAATTATAAATTCACAATATACAATTAAAATTTCATAATTTACAAATCAAATTTCTTATTTAACACTTGATATGATATAGAGTCTTTATAAAGTTAATTATGTTTCTATAAGCTATAGTTACAAGGTGAATTATAAATTTTCCATCTCAATTAAACCACTTATAGCCTTTAAGTAGACATAATTAACTTCACAGAGACTTCATATTATATGAAGTGTTAAACAAGAAATTTGATTTATAAATTATTAAATTTTATTTGTAAATTATAAAGTTGTAGTTGTAAATAAAAGCCAAATTAACAAGGCAATATTGTCCTTATATCCCAACTAAAAATTACAATCAAATCTCATAAGACTTGGTTATAATTTTTTAATTTCATGAGATTTATTTGTAAATAAATTTACTGTATGGGACCTATTCATAATTTTTTCTAATTATAATTTCTAATAATCAAATTTATTTTATTTTGAAAACAAGAAAAATAAAATCAAAACAACTTTAAGATGTTTTCTACTTTATTTTTATTTTAAAACCAAAAATGAAAATAGTTCAAGAACAATTAAAACCAAAATACCTATTTAAGTGAGTTTTTAATTGTTTTTGTTTTCAAAAACATAAAACAACTTTAAAAAAAGGCCCTAAGTTCCATTCTTTTTTGAAGCCGTTCTACATAATTAATTTATGAAATTGGTCCTTCAACATAATTATCCCGTTGTATTATATTATTGATAAAACAAACACAAATCATCGATATTCACAAATCTCTCGAGTCAGGAGCAATAAAACTTTATGGAGCCCATCCATCATGCCTCATGACATGTTGAACCAACATCGAATATTGACTTTGATATTAATGAATTAGACTTCTTGTACGAACACTTTAAGATGAGCCGTATTGCACATGACATATTAATAATGCCATTTTCACTCACAAGGGTTAAGTTTAGCCAAAAAAAAAAAAAACTATTTCCTCGTAATATAATAAATGAATGTTTGAATTATTATCAAGAGAAATACTTATACTTAGTGTTCGATCATTTTTTAAATAGAATTATTTTTAATAAAAAAATATGTATAAATATTAATAAAAAAATTCTGTGTACATTTGACTAATGAGATTGAATCTAGTGAAAGAAGCTAGTCCTTCATAATATGACAAACTAAGGTTCGAGTTCTTGTTAAATAGGTGCTTACATTTAGTATTTGACTGTACTTTGAATATGATTATTTTTTATTAAAGAATATTTATAAGCAATAAAAAATAATTTTTTATAATTTTAGACTAGATGGGAGCTTTTAGAGTCTATTAAAAAATGCCAAATTATGACTAGAACAGCTTCATATATATATATATATATATATATAGAAAAACAGCTTCTCATATTTATATACTATATGTTGAAACAAAATGTAAAGTTTATATTATTATAAAGTC